AAAAAAAAAACGCATTAGAAGCGGGCGGAGGGATGTCACAAAATCCCTATTTGCCCTGGTTTGTGGGCACAAATCCTGCACCTCCGCCGCGTCTGAAATGCCCGATTTTGGTGGCCCGGAAGGGTCCGCGGAGATTCGGCCTTCCGCATACCATCTTGGCCAGGCGGCCAGTTTGTCACGCAGGGGGCTAGAAAGGATGCCCCGCTGCGAAATAGCAGACCGGATTTCGCCTTCAATGCTTATCGCAGGAGCCTGCGGGCCGCCGCGGGCGACAGTAGTTGTCCGCGGCCCTTTAGGGCCGCGGATTCTAATTAAAAAAAATGGTGGTGGCAGCCGCGCGGCGAAAGCGCGGCCTGCAGGGCCGCGCGTTCGCCGCGCGGCTGGTTTGGCTTTCGCGCTGGTTTGATTTTCGCGCACGCATTTGGTTACCAATATCGCCCTCCGGGCGCGATCTTCATATTTAAAACGACAGCCCCGAACAGAGTACATCGACATCCATCAAGTGCGGCGCTTTTGCTTTGTACTATTCACGTGTGTTGTATTTATACACGGGGGCAGAAGATGATAGCATCGCCGACGACGAGCTCCACCCTCATGTGGTCGGGGAGGACCACTAGTAGAGCTGTTAGCGAGATACTAGTTCGGTAGTTTTGTAAAAAAAAAGCACAGTGCTCCTCCCACAGCACAGGCAGCAGCATCCGCTAGAGTGCAGGATGCACGATGAAAGTGGCATCAGGCTTGTACAAGCCGGCCACAGCCATCGAAAGACCGTTGTATAATCAAAAATCAACACGACGCTACTAGTAGCGAAGACGCATTGATGCTGCCATCAGGAAAATATAGGATCAGAGCCCGGCGGAGCGCCCTAAGTGGGTCGCCGCCCCCAGTCAGGCGGGAGGCCCGGGCAATTTTTCCAGGAGCCGTGTTCTCATTTCTTGCGACGTTCGTCGCTGTTGCAAGGCGAATGCAGACGGTAGTTCTGCACACTCTTGCTCGTCTGTCACTTGTTCATCACCACTGGAGCTGCGAAGCGATTATACGAAAACAAAAACGATCCTTGCCCTGGCAAATCCTGGGTTTTGCGTGATATCTTGCTTCCCACAATTAATGTTTGTCCGATTGAACAACAAGCTTCACCCTCCGTCGCTGAAGCTGCTGCACCCACATGTTAAAAGCTGCACTGACACAAAATGCCTGCGTTGGCAGCGCTGGTGAACTGCTGCTAAAGATCTTTTACAGAGAGGACGGAGGTGGCAGCACGACAGGCTATACATAGTCAGATCCGAAGGACATCAGCCTCACAGTGGAAATGTTGCATGAAGGACGTTGTAGTTCTGCTGACAAGTAGTGCAGACGTTGTGTGGATCTACTTTATTCAGTAGAGAGCGCCGCTCTGATTGCGGCTTCATGGCAGGGCCAATGCCTCGTGCGTTTAGACCTACAACGCAAGTGATAGGACATAGGAGCTAAGTATGATCCGGAGGTCCTAGTACTTATGATTTGTCCTGAGTTATACGTTCTCGATATTGATAAACGGTGAAGTTGAAAGTTGAAATTCTCACGAAACCGATAAAATTTGCTCCTGTGTTGTTGATTTCAAGAGAGCCACTACTTAGGTGGGGGCGTAGTCACAAGAAAACATCACGAGGAGGTAGAGTAAAAAGGTATAAAAGTACTATGTTCTTCATCTGTTGATACTGAAACAGTTCTTCTGCTACGCGTGGAGGTTCTGCACCGTGCACAGCTTGATTAGAAGGTCGCAACAGAAGTACATAGAAGACTACTGGAGATCATTAATGAATGGAACCTCGTGCTGGTGAGGACGAGGTCGTGTTCCTGACCACCACCTATCCGCTCACGACCCGTCGAGTTATTTTCCAATGAACGCGTCGCCGATGCCCTACTTTTCATGTCGCTCCGAGCACAAGGTACTACATGAAGATAATCATGCGCCGTTCGTCTTTTTCCACGACAGGATCAAGATGTGCAGCCGGTCCACGACGACCTGAAGAGGAGTTGTGCTACTTCCAGTTCCGATTCTTGTTTTACATTAACGTTACAACCTACGGGAAAGAAAAATGAGACCTCCACTGCTGCGGCACTGCAACCTGTTTCCCTTTCGGACAAAAGGGAACAAGCAGACGATTGTTCGTGCTAGTAGATCTGGAGAAGCAATAGCTGCTGTAGTAGGAGCACTGTTTCGAAGATTTTTTCGAGCAACTTTTTTCGAAATATTGCTACCAGCTCGACCGTCCAGTACTTCTTCTACCCGCCGCGCAAGAAGTAGGAGTTCTTCTATTGCGAAAAGTTGGTGGAGCAGAGGAAGAGGAAGAACAGCTGCGGCGGCCGGGGAAATATTAAATATCAGCAATAAAGAACACCGTAGTGGTGGTCCTTTTGTGGTGGGAACATTATGTAGACCACGACGTGGAGGCCGCTGCTTTTGGTCACGCCGAAGAAGTTGCCCAGCCTCCCGATTAAAGGTTCTTTCTCTTGTAACTCTCCTCCTCTGCTTGTTCGTCCTGCTGCTGCGGGACGAGGGGATTTATTTTAGTACGAGCTTCAGTTCGTGTTCCACTTCCACGGAGGATGTTCATGTTGCCGATTCGGAGGCAAAGAGCACGTTTTGGGGCGGGACTAGCACGACAAGGGCACGATGTTGTAGTTCTACTGGTAGTTCTTGTACGACTTCAGCATCTACTTCGCACAGCGTCTTTATGGATGTGTCAGGATCGAAATCGACAAAGTTGCAATGATTTGCCATGCATAAAACGCAACCCACAAAGTGCCTGTCTTGCAGAGTAGGCAAGTGAGACAGATTGTAAGCCTGGTGAGGGGTAGAAATGGAGCTGCCAAAGTAGCGTGACAAAAGGCGTCGCCCATACCCAAACAGCATGACGAACTGGATTTCGGTTCTGCCCAAATTTGTCATGCGCTAATTGGAAACTGGGTTACAACTGGCATCCATTTTATGCATGACAAATCACTTCAACTTTGACGATTTCGATCCTGACAGTTCCATAGTCTTCAACATTTTTGTAAATGTGGTTTACGCCCTGCAGGACCCCGGTCGCGGCAGAACCATCCGGCGGGAGCTGCGGGATGTTGAAAATGGAACACCAGGAGCAGCAGTAGACACTGCAAATTATGAAATCGTCGAGGACATGATCCACGATGCGACTAGTGTTCCAACCGGACGACAGCAGCCGCGTGGGACTGCATCTTCTAGAAGAAGCACCACTTCTGCAGGAGCCCTTGTTTCCAGATCTGGTTCGAACGAGGACCAGGAGGTGTTTATTTCGAGCGACGGGCCCGAGCACTCGGATGGGTCTTTATCATCCGGGCGGTTTTTTGCAAACGAGGGCGGCGAGGTTGTCAGTACAACTACAACTTCCACCGAGAAGATGAACAAGGGGGGCGCGGCTCGAGGGCGGGGGAGGGCTTCTGGCGTTCCTGGTCAAGAACGCATACTTCATCGAAGCGACCTCCAGCTGGTGCAGGCATCGCGTGCTGTGAAAACAAATAGTGCGCAAGTCGCCACTATCAAATGCAAAAATGTCTGGGTCTGGAAGATTGGTAGGTTTGTCATGCACATTTTGCATGACTCCTGATGTATGTGATGCATGCCCTAGCATCACAGATTTTGTGAGGGCTTCCTGATGCCTATACCGCATGACAAATGCTCTTGCCGTGTAGCAAAACTTGGGCTCTCTTTGCTGCTCATGCAATACAGATTTTTTTAGAATCCAAAATCAGCATGACAAGTTGGATTCTTCCAGACCCAGACATTTTTACCTTTGATAGCCACGACGACCACTACCACGATCACGTATTTGACCAAGTCAGAAATGTTTCAGACCTACTACCTGTTTGGCAACCGGGGCACCGACATGTCCAGGTGTACGGGTTCCGAGAATACGAGGACCGACCTATTACAATGAAAAATGCCCCCACCCCTCACTTGGCAGCATTTGTATTGCAAACTACCTTTCCAATAGAAACATTTTCCGTCTTGCATATCTCAGCATCACAAATTTTCCATGCTGAATAGCTCGAATTTGTGTTGCGAAGGGGCCCAACAGCAGCCGGATCTGTTATGCACAAGGCACCTTGCGCAGTCTAGGTTCTGCATCAGAAGCGCTCGCATAATCGATCCTTTTATGCAAGACAAAAAGCTTTCATTTCGAAACTTTGCATGACAAACTTTTGCAAATTCGAGGGTGGGTGCATAATTTTTCACTGCAATACGACCGCCTCTTTTTTTCGAAGTCCAACTTTCGTCTCGTTTTCGACGAATCCGCTGGCGACACTTATGGATACCCCAGGGCGGACACTCTGGGCGTGCCCTATCAAAAGGAAAATTCCCCCCTCCCCATATCAAAACGAAGTTTCTGATGCTGGATTTGCGTACAAAAATCAGATTTGTCTTGCCATGACAAACGTGTATGCTCTAAGCCCAACAACATCACAAACCGCCTGCAAAATACGGAACGCTTCCTGGACTTGCCTTCTTGCAAGACAGACAGGATTTGAGGTCACAAATGCGCATCACAAATTTTCGGACGGATACGTTTTCGATATGGGGAGGGGCGATTTTTCCTTACGATATGGCCGAGGCGGAATTCACCGACGAATGGTGCGCGACGCACTGCAGCATTGCCAACGATCAAGGGGGCACGCCGTGTTACGGATTTTCCATTCATCTGTATGCCAGAGGCAGCATCACTGCAACCATGTGCGAGTTCTGGAACTACGAGCACGCTTTCTGCGAGTGGGATAAATCCGGGGGCGATAGCAATGGCAACAGCGCCACAGTGGCGATTCGAAAAGATGTCTATGATAAGCCGGGCGCGACCTGGGGGTGGTCCGAGAACCTCCGGGTGCCCTATTGCCACGACGGACATCATATGCATTGCAAATATCGATCTGGGGTTTGGAAGAATGTAAACTTGTCATGCAGGAGGTTTTCCAAGACTCATGAGGTCTGCAGTGCGGGTGAACCTAGCGTGACAGACTTTGTGAGGTCTCTGTCATGCCTATCCTGCGGCGGGAGAAACTCTCTCCCAACTTGGTCGAAGGTGGACAGCTTTTCTTGGCACTCATGCAACACAAATTTTTGCATGATCCGGATTTAGTATGACAAGTTTTAATCTTCCAGGAGACCCAGACATATTTGCAATGCATACACCATGGGTCTACTCCGGACACTAGGATCGAGCTGTTGTCTATCAAATGTAAAAATGTCTGGGTCTGGAAGATTGGAACTTCTCATGCTGCATTTGGATGTCTAAAAAATTTGTGTTGCATGAGCAGCAAAAGGATTCTAATTTTTGCTACGCGGAGAGGGCCTTTGTCATGCGGAATAGGCATCAAGAATCCTTCAAAAAACCTGTGATGCTAGGGCATGCATCACAGACATCATGGCGCATGTGTCCCAGTTCGAGAAGGTACCCCCGGAGCGGTAAGGTACCTCTGGAGAAAGAGAACCCCCCGAAAAGCAACCACCAACATACGAAAAGGACAGGTGGAAACCGCGAAGCGAACAATCTCCGCGCACAAGAGACGCACTCGCAGCGCCATACTTTACAAAACGTAGGAAGAGAAGGGGCGCAAGGACAAGAAGCGTCGCTGCGAGCCAAACAGCGCGGAACTTTGGCGTGCGTGATTCCTAGCGCGCGCGCGCGCGACTTCGACGCCAGCGGCTCTTGTCGGTCTGTTTATTTGTTTTTGGCGCGCGCGCGCGCGATGCAGTACGACGCAGCACGCAGCGCATTTGAAGATACTTCTCGAGGCGCGCGCAACGGTAGCGCGCGTCGCACTTTTAAAGCAAGTGAGTGAGGGGCGGACAGGAAGTAGGCGTCACCATCTAAAACGACTTCGCTGCGGCATTGCAGGTACCGACCCGAACCGGGGTCGGAGAACATCCGACCCCCGCGTTGGGAACGTACCAGACAGTTTGAGAAGGTACCTGCCGGAGAAAATAGGCGCCCCCCCATACGAATGAGGAGCGCCTTTTCGTCATACTAAAGCGCTATTTGTTCTAGCATTTTTAGGCACGGGGCCGGTTTTGAACTGGGGGTACAATGCTGAACCGGGGACCCGTTTGAACGGCTACACATGCAAACCATGCATGACAAGTCTCTCTCAGAATCTTCCAGACCCAGACATTTTTACAGTTGATATTGTCGCAGACGAAAACCGCCCCGGAGTGCCGCGCGGCTTGCGTACCAAATGCAAATATGTCTTGGTCTGGAAGGTTCCAACTTGTGATGCTGTTTTTGGATTCAAAAAATATCTGTGTTGCATGAGCAGCAAGAGGAGTCAGCTCTTGGCACGGGGAGAGGGCATTTCTCATGCGTAACTAGCATCAAGAAGCTCTCAAAAGATCTGTCATGATAGCACCAGCATCACAGACGTCCCGGGTGATGCAAAATGTGCATGACAAACCCCAACTCTTCCAGACCCAGACATATTTGCAGTGCATATTGCGAAGCTAACGACCAGTGCGGAGGTGTGTACTTCGTGTTTCCTCACGGGGATTACTGTACACTATGCATTTCGTACACAATGTCTGGGTCTCCTGGAAGGTTGCCAGATTTGCCATGCAGGTTTTCCATATAAAGAACCCGTGAGGTCTGCTGGTATGCAGGACATAATTGCATGACAGATTCTGCGAAATAACCTTTCCAATGCCTATCCTGCATGAGTAGAAACTGCCTCTCGGTTAGGCTACAAAAGTGCACAACTTTTGTCAATCACGCAACACAGATTTTTACATGAATGATATAAGATTTAGCATGACAAGCTATGCATTCTTCCAGAGGACCCAGACACTTTTACATTTGATATTCAAACGACGCCGACGATATGTACTTTAGCAAATATAATCATGTCAACGGGGAGGCCATCTCTTGGAAAAAATGGAACTTGTAATGTGCTACTTTTGGAGGATCGTAAAAAAGTCTATCTATGTTGCTTGAACAGCAAGACGAAAAATGATCCAGTTCTTTCATCTGGACAGTGGAGAGGCGGGCCAGTTTCTTCATGCGGGATAAGTACAAGCATCAAGAAGAAGCACAACTCAGAAATAAATCTGTGATGGTTATAGAGCATACATCACATCAGACGATATGGGTTATGTAAAATTTGCAAGACAAGTCAGTGGTCTCATCTCGCAGTAGTCCTCTTCCAGAGGTGGAGGACCCAGACGACATATTTGCGGTTGATACACGTTTATCGAACGCTTGACCCGCTATCAAATGTAAAAATGTCTGGGTCTGGAAGGTTAGAACTTGTCATGCTAAATCTGAATGATGCAAAAATCTGTGTTGCGTGAGTACCAAAAGCTGTCCGCTTTTGACCCAGTTGAGAGGGAGTTTCTCATGCAGGAAAGGCATGACAGAGACCTCACAAAATCTGTCATGCTGGGTCTCACATTCCAGACCTCATGGGTCATGGAAAACCTGCCTCATGGGTCATTTTCTGTAGGGCAATGCCACCCTCGATTCTTCACCCCCAGGGGGTTGGGGTCCCCTCTTCCAATGTGTATTGGTTGAGGACTGCCCCCTTCATCCTAAGTGCCATCAGCCATGGTATCTGGAAAA